AACATCCTCCGCCACCGTTTTAACAAAAGTTCAGGGGTTTGGTTATCTTAACTTCACTATCAGATAACACAAGTTAAACAACCCCTAAAATACCCTAGGGAAAGCCTACTGGTCGCCTTCCTTTCTGCTCCTGATTCTCTGGGCTTGAGCCTCCGGACACTCACCTGGAATTCCACCGAGCACCAAAGGTGGTTCCTTGAACTTCCAAAAAGAGGAGGCGAACTTCCCGGGTCTAAGGTTGGGGGTCTGAAATTGTGGATTATACAACTATGAGAAGAATCTCAATAAGTGTACAACCCCAAACCACACGTAGGCACTCACGTACCGCCAGACGAAAACACGCAGAACACACACAATCAACCAAACTAACAACCACACACGACCCTACCTGGAATCCATCATGCACGTTCCTGCACCTTAGACAATAACACAGCCAATACACTACAGAGATGAATCACAGTCACGCACGTGCCTCGATTATAAAGCAAAACCTACTTGGATACGTCCCATACCGTGCCTATCAGTATTTTACCTCATAATCGAGCACCATAGCAATCGATACAAACACACTCGCACACTGACCCACACCACGCATCCCTTTTCCGAATTTCGCACCTCAAGCCAATTCCCGCTCATTCTCAACTCTTCCACCACTACCGCGCCCGCGTAAAACGCATGTGCTCAACGGCTCTTCGACCTCAGGCATCGTCACCTCGACGAAGGTGGCATCGTTCGTCCGGTGACGGCATCGTCCCGCGTAAACGAACACGCCTCGGGACGGAATCCTACCTCTCCCTTTCCTTAATTACCGTGCCCGTGTAAAACGCATCCGGGCGAGCGGTCTTCGACCTCGTCGGGCATCGACACCAGTCGGGCCGGGTATCGTCACCTCGTCGGGACAAGATCGGCCCCGTGTAAACGAACACTCCTCAGGACGGATCCTTTACCACAAATCCTACATTTCCATACCCTCGTTCCACTCAAACCACATTTACACACGGCCAACAAACGCACGGCCAAACATACACACCTCACACACACATTTCACAATTTCACATCCTCGTCACACGAACACGCCACCCAATCACACATTGTTGGCACGCGAATTCAATACGCGAATGCACTATCACACCACCACACCTCATGGCCAAACACACACGGCATATCACCAATCCACATTCGGCCCGACAATCACTCAAAAATCAGCCAATAAACACAATTCACACAACCACATACCAAATTTCCATTCAAGGCACAATCTCGCCAATCAATTGCACAATTCAACCCCCAATCCAGCCACAACATCACAGCCCTACCCGAGCTTCCTAAACCTCAAATTTTCATCGCCAATTCAGTCCACAACCACCAAACAATTAGCCACTCATTCAGTCCCAAAGCAGCCATAAAAATTGCCTAAACCGTGTCCTAAACGAGCTTAGAAATACCCGAGGTCCTAGGTAGTTTTTGGGGGAGACACTTACCTAATAAAAACAGGGCAAGCTGGCTGGATGGTGGCCGGAACAGAGCAGCGGTGGCGGCGGCGTCGCCGGCGGAGACGTAATGTCGGCGACGTACGGACGCCGTACGGACGGCGACATACGCGCGACGTATGGACGGATGAAGCGTCACGGCGGCAGCAGCTCGGCTGTTCAAGCTCCGGTGTGGCGGCGGTGAGCTCCGGCGTACGGACGGCGGCCGAGAAGGAGGAAGAGGGAGAGAGAGGTTTCGAGGGAGAGGAGAGAGAGTGGTCTGGCCAGAATGAGAGAGGAGAGAGAATGCTGGTCAGACCAGTCAAATATAATGGGCTAATGGCGCCACGTGTCGCCGATCCGGAGAATTTGACCAAAATACCCCTAATCCGACGGTCCTCGTTCGTCCATATCCAATAATTGAGGGGCAAAAGCGTCCAAGGTCCAATAATTGAGCTGATATTTCAGACCTGATTATTCCAAAAATATCCCAAAATTCGGAACCCAAAAATAGCCCAGGGGCAAAATGGTCATTTTTCCGGTCCCGGGACGAAATTCCAATTTTTGGCTATACCAACCCTAAATGGGTGTGGCCAACATAATATGGCGTCGGAATCGCGAAAATAGCCTCTTAAGCCCTTGAAAATCGACTGCAAAGTCCTGGGGATTAAAATAATATTATTTTTTACTTCCGAGCCAAAATTCCAATTTTTGACCGCAATAACTCTAAATGTGCGTGGCCACCCTAAAATGACATCGGCCGCGAAAAATAATCTCATACGGCCTCAAAATCAACGTCGGGGTCCAGAGGGGCAAAATCGTAATTTTTCCGGTCCTGAACCGAAATCCATTTTTTTGCAGAAATGGGTGGCCCCAAGGTTGGCCAAGCCAAAAACGTTATCGACCGCTCAAAATTGTCACTTTCAAAATTCTCGATTCCCGGGACCGAATTCCAAGAAATGACTAAAATCGAACAATCGCGACTTTAGCTTATCTCTTGCTAACGGGTGGCTCGTTGGGATTACGCGCTCTCGACCCGTGACCGACACTAAGTCCAATCACGTTTAAGTTTACTCGTACCAAGGCGATCTCGATTGTCATGTAATTGTGAGGGTCTGTCGCTAATTCCCTTCGGACACGATCAATCAATTAGATCGGTCTCAGTTGGCTCAAAACATTCCCTCGTCAATCTTTATGGTCGAAGGTCGAACCAAGATCGAGTTCTTTGGTCGTGCGAACTCAGTCCCGTAATGGCCTTACCCCTAAGGTTAGCATCCCGTGAATGCGCATTTCCGGGTGAGATCTCACTATAAGTGCATTGGCCAAAATATTCATTTTTTAAATCCCGGGAAAAGGATCGAAAATTCAGTCTGTTACATTGATTATATAATCGGTCACATTATCCCGCACAAAATGCACCGAACACACGCGCGAGAGTCATGAGAGGGAAGAAATTCCGCATTGGATGTCCAAAGCTAGTAAAAAAAAAATAGATAATTCCTACTTGGCACATAATTCAATGGCTGAAACTTTTGCATAAATGTGGGTCCAACAAAATTATCGATGGACACTTTGGGATCTTTTCCCCCCAACAGAATGTGATTAAACTTCTCAGGAGGGTTATGACAGAGACTTGAGAAGGTATAAAGGCTTTCTTGATTAAAGGACGAATCATGAGTTTGCTTGATGCTGTCGTGCTAAATACGATGCTCTCCTGTTAATAGGCTTTCTTGTTTAGCTCGCGGTGTGAGTTAAAACCGAATCAAAAGTTTGTTTGAGAAAGTCACGCAAAGTGTGTGGTTGCGCAGTGACTTAGCCTTTGAACTCATATTAAATTATTGGCAAAAGAACACTACAAGTACCATAACTTGTGTACGGCGCTCACTTTGGTGCCATAAGTTTTTTTTGGATCACTTTAGTGCTAAAATTTTTGAAAAACGATCACTTAAGTGCTAAAATTTTTTAAAAACGATCACTTAAGTGCCAACTCCGGTGCCGTACACAATTTTTCGCCGGAAATCCGACGTGGCATTTTTTTTATTAATTTCTGAAGCTGACGTGGCTCGCCGGAGATTGGCACTTAAGTGATCGTTTTCAAAAATTTTAGCACTTCAATGATCGTTTTTAAAAAATTTTAGCACTTAAGTGATCGTTTTCAAAAATTTTAGATGAAGTGATCCAAAAAAACTTATGACACTTAAGTGATCGTTTTTCCTCCGACTTGGCACCAAAGTGATCCGAAAAAAAGTTATGGCATCAAAGTGATCTCCGTACACAAGTTATGGCACTTATAGTGTCCTTTTGCCTTAAATTATTCATCTCCCGCCATAACTATTTAAGCTCTCAAAGGCGGTGTCACTCTCGCAGCTCTCGAAATCCATGGAAGATCTTCTTCTTCTTCATCCCCCCAAATGCAGAAACCGCCCTGGATGATGCTTCCAAGAAGTGGAGCGTCGTCTTCACGAAGCACCTGAAGCAGAAGAAGCGCAAGGTCTATCATGACGGCTGCCTCTCTCTCGCTTACTACTGATATCTGCCGTTCATGTCCCAGCTCAACTCGATCAGCGTACTTAGTTACCTGCGATTGGACATGATTCGGTTTGATTGGCTAGTCTATGTCGAAAATGCAGTGGCGATCGATTTGTTACCGTCTTTTCCTCAAATTTAGCTCGCTCGATCGAACTGAATAGCATCCTTTCGGATTTTGATTCAGTCTGTCATCGAGGAATGTTCTGTACTTTGGTGTAGATTGTGAAGGCTGCAAACTCCGTCTCTTTCTCTACCTCACCCGTCCCCAGTTGTCAGTACGTCAACGTCCCTGCCTTCTCTCTCTCTCTCTCTCTCTCTCTCTCTCTCTGTAACTCCGAGTTACAGCTTCACAAGCTCAACGGAAGTGGAGGGAAATGGGAACGGAGCCGGTGAAGAAGGCGTCACCCGCATCCTCTTTTGCAGGCCCTACTTCCTGGCCTATCTCACCAAAGTCTACTTGAGCCAATGACCATTTATCCAGGTTCAGACCCTATGTGATTCTGATTCCCCTACGGTATATGAAAGAAAATGCTTAATGTTCCACTATCTTCGGTTGCAAGTGGTTGATGGAGCTAGCTGGATGTGTTTTGAGCGGAAAAAAGGGATTTGATTGCATCGACTTGAGGTCTCGATGCCGGCCAATTATTTTCACATCCATTGGTAGAGCCAGATTTCAACTACCTATTGCACTGTAGTGATATCCCGTTTCTGCCTCTGATCGTTGTAAGATAGTAGAATTGTATACTTTGAGACACTGTGGTAAGCGATGAAATTTTTACTTGGCTAAATACAAAACCAATCTGCTCTTGTCAGGGTCCTACTTAAACTTGCCGTAACGATCCCATTATCGCCAGCACATGCCTTTGGATAAATAACAGACTAGGAATAGAAAGCATGTTCAACTTTGCACATTCGGCTCGGTCTTACGTTTAAATGTAGATATATCCGCGTTAATCAGTGTGCTTGGGTTTATGGCAGTGTAAGGACTAATTAATGTTTCATATGTTTCCAAATTTTGTCTCTAGCTGCACCTTGAAGATCATTCGTTCATCTGTTTTCCATTTTCGTAGATCGATGAGGTGGCCCTTGATGATGTGCCACATGTTATAGGAAACTACCATATTTGTGTGGTGAAGAACAAGCGCCTCGACTCAGATACTATAGCTTGAGTGAAACAGATGAAGCTTATAATGCAATATGGTGTCGGTCTGGAAGGTGATAATCTCTCGGAGTTTGGTTTATTTTGTCAGTATTATTACTATGTTTTGTTAGATCTTAATTGAATTTAGTACCCAACATTTACATCTTCATGAAGGTGTTGATATTGACACTGCCACCAAAAATGGAATAAAAGTTGCCAGGATTCCAGGTGACTTCACGGGAAATGCAGCATCCTGTGCAGAGATGGCTATTTACCTGATGCTGGGTTTACTCCGAAAGCAGGTATGTTTGATCACTGGAAAAATCTTGAGTAGCTGGCATGTGATTCATTCTTACACGCAGAGTCCACAGGTCAGGTTTGTCGTATGTCGTGCTTATTTTTGTTCCTTCATAGGGAATGACAGGTTGAATATTTTAGCTGTAACATTTTCTGAAATGTGAATAAATCCCCTATTGTTTTGCATTCTCATCCTTTTCTGGTCGATGTTCCAAGTGAATGTTTGATCATCAGCGCCAGTGTGTAGGTGTTTATATCTTCATTGATATTCTGGGAAACAGGAAAATCGTTCAAATTATACCCCAACTTCAAAACATAGCAAAACATCCTACATAAGGTCTACATCTGAATGAAAATGTTCATTTACAATTCAAGTTGACATAAGGCTTCACATAAGGATTCCTGTGTTTGCGTGACACCACTTGACATAAGGCTTCCCGTGCTTGCATTCGTCGGCTACATGCTGCGACTCCCGTCCATATTACTCAGAGGTGCATCCACTGAAGATGTCGCCATCATGGTCGAACTCCCATTATGCGACAATCCAGGAGTTGGAATCATCGTTGTCATTGAATTAGGATTCACTGGATTTCGATTATTAATAGATGGACGCTTGATCAAACTACGCAACCGGGACTCCAGTGTGCCCAAATTCATATACTCAGCCTACATAATTGTAATTTCAAAGTAGCAAAAGAATGTCAAGTCCTACTCACCAAAAAAAAGGAAATACTGATAATCACGAGAAAACACAGGTGAAACCAGGCAAGAGAAATGAACATATTATTGCCTTTCGCAGATGTAAAACGTAAAACACTATAAACATACCCAATAAAGGGCAATCATAAGCCGCTTTTTGTACTTTTACAAAGAAGAATAGGAGAGAAATGATGAGGATGGGAAGACCTTTGAGTGAGAAGATTTGAAGAGACCGTCTTCGAGGCGTATAACAATATCCTTCAGCTTCTGCATTTGAGAGTCATTAATTGGCTGTGCATGCCTCTGTGCTAATAGAACAAAGCTGAAAAGGACAGTAAAAAGTTCAATCAGCAAACAAGGACCAATGGAACTGTGGAAGCTAAAGCACAAGAACAAGTGCTCTAGATTAGATTACATCTTCTCTTGCATATAGCTCCGAGCTCTGAGAAGATCCGTGTCCACGCTGAACGCAGCATGAAGGGCACCAGTGCCTGCAGCTACTATATTCAGGACAACATTGCCATTTTGCTGGGATAACCCAGGCAACTGAGTGCCCGATTGACAAGATAAATGCCCCGATATATCTGCCTGTACAATCATCACATCAATCTACAAAAGCTCTCACTCTTCCTGTAATCATTTAAACTCGCAAAGGGTCTACACATGCCTGAGCTGGTGCTACATACATAAAAACTCTATTCACAGTGAACAACTACAACTAATACGGCCAGGCACCAATGCAGACAGCCATAACAAGAGTTTATAGAGAGCACATGCCTTTGGATTAATTCTGTTTGACATAAGGCTTCCCGTGTTTGCATTCGTTGGCTGCACGCTGCTACTCCCAGCTATATTACTCATAGGTGCATCCACTGAAGTTGTCGCCGTCATGGTCGAACTGCCATTATGCGACAATCCAGGACTTGGAATCATCGTTGTCATTGAGATAGGATTTACTGGATTTTGATTATTAGGAGATGGACGCTTGATCAAACTATGCAACCGGGACTCCAATGTGTCCAAATTCATATACTCATCCTACATAATTGTAATTTTAAAGTAGCAAAAGAATGGCAAGTCCTATCCACCAAAAAAAGAAAAGGATATACTGATAATCACGAGAAAAAACAGGTGAAACCAGACAAGAGAAATGAACAGATTATTGGCTTTCGCAAATATAAAATGTAAAACACCGAAAAAAACCCAATAAAGGGCAATCATCCGCCGCTTATTGTACTTTTACAAAAAAGAAGAGGCAAGAAATGATGAGGATGGGAAGACCATTGAGTGAGAAGATTTGAAGAGACCGTCTTCGAGGCGTATAACAATATCCTTCAGCTTCTGCATTTGCGAGTCATTAATTGGCTGCTGATGCCGCTGTGCTAAGAGAACAAAGCTGAAAAGGACAGTAAAAAGTTCAATCAGCAAACAAGGACCACTGGAACTGTGCAGGTTAAAGCACAAGAAGAACAAGTGCTCCAGATTAGATTACATCTTCTCTTGCATATAGCTCCGAGCTCTGAGAAGATCCGTGTCCGCGCCAAACGCAGCAGGAGGGGCACCACCGCCTGCAGCTACCGTATTCGAGACAACATTGCCACTTTGCTGGGACACCCCAAGCAACTGAGGGCCCGATTGACTAGATACATGCCCCCACATATCTGCCTGTACATTCATCACATCAATCTACAAAAGCTCGAGCTTCACTCTTCCTGTAATCATTCAAACTCGCAAAGGGTCTACGCATGCCCGAGCTGGTGCCCACATACAAAAAAAAAAACCCTCTATCCACTGCGAACAAACCACACACAGTACCGCCAGGCACCAGTGCAGACAGCCATGACAAGAGATTATAGAGAGCATCGACAAAGCAAGCAAAAGCAGACGACATTCAACATCACGCTCTCGAGAATCTCTCGAGCACGGGAAGAGGGAGAAAAATTGGGAAGAAGTTCACATCCAGATGCTGGAAAAAAAAAATCAAAGCTTTGATAACGGGAGACGACGGGTTGAAGAACTGGAGAACCGTCAGTGGTGCGAAATACGAACCTTTTATGAGACCCGGAATCCCCCCGTCAGAGGACGAAATCGGGGATCGACGAAACTGAAGTGAAGTGCGATCCGCGACGAGAAGAGCGACGGCGCCAGTAGGCAGTGATCTCAAATTCGGAGATCAATCGGATTTGATCGCGACGATTTACGATGGTCTCAATTCTATTTATGTTAGATTATATCTCGAACTTTGGGTTCGTGCTAAATCCAATCCGAAATCCGTAATATTGAGAACGATTTTTACTGGAGAAATCATCGCTGATCAGATGCGAGGATAGGAATCCCACGTTTTCTTATCTTTGATTGAATTTCCTTCCTTGAAGGGCCTCTCATAACTGCACACAAAGATTTGACCGGTTTTGGCTGCTAGGACTCTTCCTTTTGTAGTGCGTACAGAGTGCGTGCGAAGGAGGGGGGCTCTCATGTTATTGTGGGGTCAGTGCCCCTTAATTCGCTTGGTAAGGTGCAACCGTGCAAAGAGCCAGATTGGAGCCAACTCCCTTCTTTTTCCCTAATAAAGAATTAAATGAATTCATTTAGTGTATGCATAGGTTTTTATATTAAATGAATTCATGACGCAGCCGCACACTTGAATCATCTTAACGTGGGCTTTTAGTCACACGTGCAAACAAAAAATCGGAAAGTTCTTTATGGTGGGTCAGGTTTCTCAACTCATTGAATTGCATCTTTATTGAAACACTGATCACAAGTGTTGAACTAATAGTTTGGTGCTCAAGGTATTGGTTGGAGATAATATGGGTGGCCGTGGCTCCCAAATCTTGCAAACTGATTTTTTCCTTAAGCTAGCTCCAGCTGACATACTAGGTTTGTCGCAATGCCACTAAATATAATCAACTCTAAGTGTAGGAAAGAAAACTTAGTATAGGCACAGACTTAGTTCAATCTCTATCAATGCTCGCTTAGATATTGTTCCAGGAAAGTGGTGCCTGAGATGCCTGTCAGTCAGCATAAGACTGGCTCTATCCGCAAACACATTGGCGGTCCCGAAATCAAAACACATTCTATGAACCGACCAAAGTTTGTTGTTGCTTGCGTTAATAGTTACAGGGAACTCAAAACAGCCAAACGCCTTTTCTAGCAGTATGAGCTATGAAAATCAGCAAAAAGTAGAAGATGAACCCGAAGCTAAGGCAGACTTAAGCATACCTGTGGCTCGAGGCATGCTCAAGTCCTGAGTGAGGAACTAATAGCCTGATCACGTAGGAATTGGCCTAGTGAAATATGCACTATGGGAACTTTGATGGACAAACACTGGCTTCCTCTTACATTAGGCACCCACAAGATGATGGCTCATAAACCTATACATTCATCATCTACTTAAAACAAGACAACAGGGTGTTTTAGCTCTCACAAAATGGTCATACATCGACTACAGCATACTTGATGGTAAATAGCCAAATACAAGAAAGAAAAATTTTTCAATAACACTTTTTTCAGGAGCACCAAACAGTTCTTCACAAGATACATGACAATACTTAAAACTGCGAGAAATCAGCATTAGTTCCATAATATAAGGGGCCACCAGCTTTATAAGTTTCATAACATCGAACATTACTCGAATGCTGTCTAAACAGAGCTTGGAATACTTAACACGACACATGACCAGGCACATAAACAAATTGCAAACCATTAATTACCACATGAACAGTTAAGTTTCACGCCTTTGGATCTCTCTGTCATCCCACGAGTTCACTAGCAAATTCAGAATAACATCCCATAACATATAAGGTTTCACAAGAAATGACGATTAAATCATGCCGAATTTGTTGAGGACTCCTTAGAAGCTTCAAGTAACGAAACTTCATTATTAGAGAGTTCTCCCTAGTCAGATGTCTCACGTTCTTCTCCTCCTGTTCTTCCGCTGAATGGAAACAAGACTACATCAATTATGCTATGTATTGATAGAGGTGATTAATTAGAAAGGAAAAGAAATTACTCAAATAATAACGACAGAAAAAGAAGGAAAAGCAAATATAGGCATTAAGTTATGATAATTTGTGGATGCTAACAAGAGCAAAGAATATAAAATAATGTATTATGACTTGAATGTCATTTTATGCGGCTATAATTTGAAATAAGGGTGTTCGGAGGAAAGAAGATATCACCATAAGGGTCGAATTCCATTATGCGACAATCCAGGAGTTGGAATCATCGTTGTGTCATTGAATTAGGATTGACTGGATTTCGATTATTAAGAGATGGACGCTTGATCAAACTATGCAACCGGGACTCCAATGTGCCTAAATTCATATACTCATCCTGCATAATTGTAATATTAAAGTAGCAAAAGAATGTCAAGTCCTATTCACCAAAAAAAGAAAAGGAAATACTGAGAATGACATGAAAAACATGTGAAATTAGGCAAGAGAAATGAACAGATTATTGGCTTTTGTGGATGTAAAATGTAAAACCCCACAAAAAAAACCCAATAAAGGGCAATCATAAGCCGCCTTTTGTACTTTTGCAAAGAAGAAGTGGAGAGAAATGATGAGGATGGGAAGACCTTCGAGTGAGAAGATTTGAAGAGACCGTCTTCTAGGCGTTTAACGATATCCTTCAGCTTCTGCATTTGAGAGTCATTAATTGGCTGATGATGCCGCTGTGCTAAGAGAACAAAGCTGAAAAGGACAGTAAAAAGTTCAATCAGCAAACAAGGACCTATGGAGCTGTGGAGGTTAAAAGCACAAGAAGAACAAGTGCTCCAGATTAGATTACATCTTCTCTTGCATATAGCTCCGAGCTCTGAGAAGATCCGTGTCCGTGCCGAACGCAGCAGGAGGGACACCACCGCCTGCAGCTACTATATCCGGGACAGCATTCCCATTTTGGTGGGACACCCCAGGCAACTGAGCGCCCGATTGACTAGATACATGCCCCGACATATCTGCCTCTACATTCATCAAATCAATTTACAAAAAGATCTCGCTCACCCTTCCTGTGATCGTTCAAAACTCGCAAAGGGTCTACGCATGCCCGAGCTGGTGCTCACATACATATTAATTAAAAAAAAAACCTTTATCCACAGCGAACAAACCACACCCAGAACCGCCAGGCACTAGTGCAGACAGCCATGACAAGAGATTATAGAGAGCATCGACAAAGCAAGCAAAAGCAGACGACATTCAACATCACTCTCTCGAGAATCTCTCGAGCACGGGAAGAGGGAGAGAATCGGGAAAAAAATTCACATCCGGATGCTGAAAAAAAATCAAAGCTTCTGATAACGGGAGGCAGATCGAAGGACTGGAGAACCGTCGTGGTGCGAAACAGGAACCTTATAAGACACGGAATCCGCCCCCCCGTAGCAAGAGAAACAAAACGCTAGAGAGGACGAAATCGGGGACCGACGAACCTGAAGCGATGTGCGATCGGCGACGAGAAGAGCAACGGAGCAGTAGGCAGTGATCTCCAATTCGTAGATCAATCGGATTGATCGGGACGATCGACGATCGTCTCAATTTGAGCCCGTGAGAAATCCAACCCTTATCCGTAGTAGTGACTCTGCTTGGACTCTTCTACCTTTTGTATTGCGTACAGAGTACGCACGAAGGAGGAGGGGCTCATATGTAATTGCTTAGTAAGGTACAAGAGCTAGACAATAGTATCACATGTACGGTGTACGACTCGTGCGCTCTCTAATAAGCATAGCAAAATTCAAAGAGCGAGAAGAATTAGCATCACAAGATAAGACAGATAAAAAAAAATTACAAGACCTAGAATGTAGCCCCTAAAAAAGAATTAAATGAATTGAATTAGTGCATGTATAGCTTTTTATATTGATTGTTTAGTCGGTCCTTGACCGATTCAGAAATCAACTACACGTTTGGCTAAATTTTTCCTGGGGGAGAAAAAAAAAACATTATAGAGTCAACTGCATCAATTATTGGAGTTATACTTTTAGCGCATGATAAAGCAGCAGCTGACTTGAACTTATTTCCCGAGTTATTTGAGTTTTCTTCAAATTGACAAATCATCTATTGATGTCTATTGATTCAAGATCATCTTAATGTGGGCTTCGAGTCACACATGCAGACACAAATCAAAAAGTTCTTTATGGAGGGCCAAGTGCCGCAGCTTGTTCAATTAGATCTTTCCTTAGACATTGATCTCGAGTGCTGAATTAATATAGTTCGGTGCTTGAAGTATTGGTTGGAAATAATACAAATGGATGTGGCTCCCAGATCTCGTAAACTGATCTTTTAACTAGTGTCGCAGCTCGTTGAATTAGTTTCACGCCTTTAGATCTCTCTGTCATCCCACGAATTCACTAGCAAATTCAATATAACATCCCATAATATATAAGGTTTGTCATTAAACCATGCCGAATTTGTTGAGGACTCCTTAGAAGCTTCAAGTAACGAAACTTCATTATTAGAGAGTTCTCCCTAAAAAGATGTCTCGTGTTCTTCCCCTCTTGTTCTTCCACTGAATGGAAACAAGACTAGATCAATTATGCTATGTATTCATAGTGGCGATTAATTAGAAAGAAATAGAAATTACATAAATAATCATGAGAAAAAATAAGACAAAGGAAATAGAGGCATTAAGTTATAACATTGTTTGGATGCTACCCAGAGAACAAAATAATTTATTATGATTTAAATGTCTTTTTATGTAGCAAAATATTGATTTAAGATAAGCGTATTTGGAGGAAAGAAGAAACAATTGTCAAATAATAAAAAAGTGTGTCCATGGGAGAGTGTGTGTGTGTGTGTGTGTGTGGGGGGGGGGGTTGGGGGGGTTGCAAGTGCAGCTAGAACTTCCCTATTATTGCGATATTCTTTCAGATGGGCCAACTTTTTACACAGAAACACTATATGCCACAGAAATTTAAAATACTATTCAAATTTCACTTATTGACTTCTCTGAAATCGTTAACATTTTCTATCAATTAATATCATTTAATAATTGATGATTAATGATGTACGGTACAATCTTATACCATACAAATGTCTGTCAGATAGACTTTACTTGTAATGTTCGGATTGTCGGATGAAAATACGAGTAAAATAATATTTATGCAATTTCTATAAATAAGAGATCTTTTTCTTCCTAACTCCTCGAGTTTTGTGCTCCCACTACTATAAACGTTTTCATTTTGGCTTTTTTTTTCCTGACCCTCTTATCGATGTGATCATTCTTTTCTCGTTACTGGAAGGACCAAATCCTCTTAGCCCAAATTGACCTATTCATGAGCTAGCTCAAATTAAAGAGGACCCTAATATTTTAACTAGTTGAGCCTCAATAAAAAGATATTTCAGCCCAATTATTATATTGAAATTCTATAAAAGAGAAAACTTGAAGTATCTATAATTTGTTACTGAACTATGATATAAGTAAACATCGAATGAAATTGCATTATCAGATAAATCTTCCTAACATGAAGTCTAGTGCTCATCGTCTTCTTCTTCTCCACCGTATGAGAAAAAGTTATAGATGAAATTTCTTAGAAAGTGAAAATGCTAAGACATCCTTGAAAATGCTAATTACTCAGTAATTTGTTATTTACCTCTAGGCAACCTCCAAGATCTTCCTTGCTATCTTCCTGCAATCAAAAGGTTTGAATTAATTAGGCATCCAATTCCAAAAAACGCACCAATTTTACTTTGAATGACAATTATAGCCCGAATTTTTTTTTGTCTCATAAAAAATCACTAACTTTTACTTAAATATCAAATCTGGCCCAAATATTTTGAAAATTTTACATCACAGTGGCTAAATTTGGGACTCGAGTAAAAGTTGATACTTTTTATTGAGACAAAAAAAATCGGGCCAGAATTATCACTTAAAGTAAAGTTTGTGTTTTTTTATGGAATTAGCCCCTTAATTAGGGTGCCGAAAATGATTGAGTAGTAATTATGTCACATACATATGATGTAATTGACTAGATAAAAATTACATCATAACCGATGAATTATTTAATAAGTTTATGATTAAAAATTATGTGACTTAATATTAATGTATTATTAAATTATTATGATTATGATATAAACTCAAGGATTTAGGAACAACTTCAACAAATGAATTAGCGAACATCGATATTTAATATGATTTAACTCATATTAGTAATTCATCTCCCGCCATAACTATTTAAGCTCTTGAAAGCGGGATCGCTCTCGCAGCTCTCGAAATCCCTGGAAGATCTTCTTCTTCTTCCGCATTCCCCAAATGCAGAAACCGCCATGGATGAAGCTCCGGCGAAATGGAACGTTACCTTCACGAAGCACCTCAAGCAGAAGAAGCGCAAGTCCTGTCGCCACGGCTTCCTCTCTCTCCACTCCTCCACCGCCAAGGTGCGTTCCCTCTCCCTCACGACTGATCTCCGCCATTCATGTCCTACTCGACTCCATCAGCAAATTTTAGTTTCCTTGCATTGGGCTCGGACGTTTTGATTGGCCAGTCTATGTCTAAGATGCAGTGGCGATCGATTTTTTACCCTTTTTTATCCGAATTTTGCTCACTCGGTTGAACAAAATAGCAAGCAACAGCTCGATGCTGCTTAGGATTTCGATTTTGACTATCATCGCGGATAGTTCTGCTCTGTGCTTTTGGTCGTTATCCTCTCCGGGGTTGGGCTTGTTATGAGCAGATTAGTTCATTCCGTGATTGATGGTTGGATGATTTGACAGGTAATGCTGTATGATGACGGCGAGCAGCTGTTGGAATGCAGGATTTTGAAGAATGATGAAGTTGTTTGTTCTGGTGAGACAATGACCTTCAACGCTTATTTGGTTGATGTTGGAGAGCCTGAAGGAGGGCCAAAGCCTCTTGATGATGCTTATACTTGCAGCCGAGAAAAGAAAGTTCCTAAGGGAAGAGCTTCCCTTCACAGAAACACGTTTGTCAAAGTATCTGATTCCGCCGGTATTGTCTGCCCTTCACATAAACAAGTTCGTCAAAGTATCTGATTCCACCGGTATATATTGTATGTTCTTACATATTTGTTTTTCTTCATGCTGGTGTCTCCATTGGTTTGAAATTTGACAACTCATACTCGTACACTCGCAATGTTGTGCTCATCTACCTGTATTATCATATAATCCACTTGGCTTACTTTTTAAGGAGATGTGAAGACCAAAGTGGAAAAGGGTAAACAGCAGACGATCGACCTAAGCCCATCGCAGAAAATTATAAAAGGTTGGCGATGATATCCTACATAATCTTACTCTCTCTTAACTGCAAGTAAATGCTGGCTACAAAACTTAGCATGCGTTTTATTTTGTTTTTTGATTCCCAGAATTCAAGAAGAATGAAATGAACAAGTACGGCATATTGCAGGCAAGTCCAAACTCAAGGACATCGAGTACAACAGGCGAGTTTGGACTTTTGCTGACTCATCTATGCCCATACCAGGCTGTGTCTTTCTCTTGATGTATGTCTTTGATTGTGAATCCGTTCTTGATTTTCTTTGGGGTACTGTTTCTACACATCTTTAATTCTCCCGACTCTGATGCTTTGTATATCAAATCTTCTCAATCCCAGTGGTTCTATATATTTTCATGGCTTCTATTGAAATCACTGGAGCTTCTTACCATGTATCCAAATTTCCCTAAGAAAACTGGTCTCAAAATTCTCTATGCAGTTATATTCAAGAGTTTGTTATTGATGTCTCAGCACTGCAGTTGACATGATATTCCTTTTGATATAGATTGGCACGCCTTGGAGACAACACACTTAACTCAAAAGTTGAAAAAATATCATGATGGCTTCTTTCGTTGTACAAGCAGTGGATCTATGACTAGGCAGGTCATACAGTCTACATCTACTGTGGATTTTTACCGTTCGATAATACCAGCTATCTCATTGCCGAATTAAATTTCAGCTCTTGCTTCCTTTATTAGTTGGTTTTCTTCTTCATGATGTATACCTTTCTCAGCAGATTAGTGAAAATTTTGTCAGGATAAATATGGCTCAGATGATTGAAACCTTATTTGGATTTTTTACCAGGTTTTCTTGTATGATACAAGCTAGAAACTTTTAGATAGCAGGGTCTGAACAAAGCTGAAGAAGTAAGCTCTGGGGAGATGATGGAATTTCCTGGTCATTTGGTTGAAGTTGGCAATCGTGAAGCAAACCATGAATCTTTGAGTGATCTAAAAGCATCTGGAAAAGGCTTCAATTCGCTTCACAAATTAAATATTCAGAAGCAGCAGCATAACGTCACTACCATTAAATCTGCTGTAAAAGGTACCTGGAATACAGTTCAATTTGATCCATTCCATGGTGTTGTATAATTTTTTTTTTCCTGTTTAGTCTTTCTATGGAGGTAATTTGCCTCCCCCTGGCCTACAGTCTTGAATTGCCAATAGATTGTCAACATTTTCTCCCTGATTGTTTATATTTCCCTCAGGTGCTCTGCAATTGATGTAATTGCAGGACACTCCATACTCACCAAAATGATATTTCAACACAATGTGATTCGGAGCTTTAAGGACACAAGTTCAAAGGATGTTCATAAAATGTGGGACAATTTCCAAAAATTCTTTAACTTGCAGATGCCAAGAGTCAATTCTTTGTTTTTGTTTCTAGTTAAAACTTTCTTCATTGACTAGATAAGAGATATGACAATTGAAAATCATCATTGTTATTCATATGATCTCTTCCTTTTCAGTTAAGGAGGATGATACCTTCTCTTCATGTTTTGGATGATCTACAATAATGACTTGAATCTGATTGTGATGCACTGAAAGATGTACTCATTACTCCTCTTTCAGAAGAAAAAAACTGGCCAAACTCACAATTTTCTGCTTGATGAACTGTAAGGAAACTTTTGTACTTGTCATGGGCAAAACTCTCTACTGCGTAACCAGATGGATTCTTGAAATAGCTTAGATACAACAGATTTCCAACTTGAGTTCAAAGGATAAAATGTATGATGTGTAAAAGCTTCACCAAATATAAAACCATCTATTGAGGTTTCGGCATTGTGCTTCGGAGGTGGACAATGTGTGTCTGTGCGTTTTGAAAGTCCAGAATTCGCCTTGTCAGGTTATGTTCTTGACATTGTCCTAGCTTTAGCACCATGATTTGGGTGAAGAATGAATCATAATTAAGCGAACCTCATGGAAAAGAGGAGGGCAATGAACCAAGTATATGGATTCCTCAGCATATCCCTTTATAGTTTTTACATTTTTCAATGAAGCTTTCATTAACTAGCAGATTGTTCCTTCTACATCCCGATAGATTTCTACAAGGGTAGGTATGTATTGCTGTGTATTTACTGCCTACATTTAGCTTGAGGTTATTGAAATAACGAAATCAATAACAAGTTCATTATTATTCTCCAGTCATTTTCAATACTCATGAGCATGTGAATATTCCTTTTTGGGGGCTGTGTTCTCCCGTTGTTTTGTGTTAGTTTAACTGAGCATGTCCCGCTTGGAGATTAACATTTTCCTGTCATGTAGAATGGTAGGTTTTGTACACAACCCAAGTAACTCAAGAGGCCAAGAAATACCACGATGGTTTTTTGCAGCTTGAAGTTTGCGGATCCTTAGGGAGGCTGGTCATTCCAAAGCACTTTCAAGGACGTTTTCATCCTTAAGCCACTGTTTTCTGGCCACTTTGTTTGCTGATCCAACATGAATCACTTCTGCTTTTTTGGATAGTGGTTCATTATGTGCCCCAACTATCACACTAATTCAAGTGCATTTCACTACCCAAAAAAGTTCAAAGGCTTTTCACACCCATTATTTATAGTTCCTGGAATTACTTTTCTGCTCATTGTTTTCTTCCCCTTGGATCATTCAGGTCACACTGTATGATGCTAGCAGGAAAGTCTTGTTGAATAAATTTCTTAGGAAAGATGAAGTGTTGGGAACTGGAAAATCGCTGGTATTTGATTCTCACTTGGTTGATATTGGGGAGCATGTAGTAAAAGAAAAGGTACCAATGGGTTTGAATGATCGTGAACCATGTCACGCCGCTGGAGAAATGGGGACAGGCCATGGGGAGGTGGATGGTGCTAAAGTTGATCAATCAATCCTGGGAGGTTTGCAGCATTATTGATTCATCCAATGCTATTCAGATGTTTCAATAACTTTATTGTATTCGGTTGTAGTTTTCCTTAATGCATCCTGTTTGTCTAGCTATATCCTAGTGAATTATTGAAGAGGTTATTTAGGTGGAACTGTGGGTATTAAGATAGAGTTGTAAATGAATATGTTGAAAGAACATGTTAGGAGAAAGTTGCTACCTCCCTAACCAAGTAGGGGCACTTATATGAGGAGGATTGTTCGCCTGATATGGTCACCTCAAGATGATTCAGAATTGGAGCATCTAATTCTTTCTTCCATAGATATCAATTCTATGTGCCTCAATTATTTGATGCCTAACGCTTTATCTTTGGATAATACAATACTCTGGCATGAACATGGAGACAAAACTTCAGGGAAGGTTCATCCAGCGAGAGATTCAGATTCAAACAGTGGAATATCTGGTTTGAAAAGCACAGATTGCATCAGGAGAGTTCCCAAGACCAAGCCTCTCCATGATGGTGATTACTCTATGTAGAAATTTCTCTTTATGAGAATTGTCTTGTGCCTTTTGATGTTACTATCTTTCGCATGTGTAGTTAGACTTAGGCACAATGAAATTTTATGTTATTCAGGTGCGTCAAGTAATTTACAGTAAGCTTTGTAAAGCCCGCAAAATGGATAGATTGTTTCACGGACCTGCTCTAGAAAGAGAATGTCATGCAATTAAGCTTGGGATTGGTTTTATTGATTTTGATGGATCACTCACTTCATTTTGCTTTTCCTATAAAGTTAACTCTCTTATTTATTGGAGGAACCTGTTGTGTTACTTACTCCAGCTTGCAAATGATCTCTTGTAATCCAATCGATGCAGCCTATCAAATGTTATCTGTCCTCCGAAAACCATTAGATCAAGTTGCCATTGCCAAAATACATATGAAAGTAAGGCAACTTTTGCTTCACTAACAAAGGAGCTTCAAGATTCAGATAAGTTTTGTAATGGTACTCAAGGACAGCGCCAGCTGCTGAACTAGCTTCAGTTTAATGTTAGTGTTAGCTTTCTCGCATTATATGTTTCCTCATCTGTCAATGTAAAATATCATCAAACTCAGCCTCTGATTTCAATGAATTTCACTATACAAGGGGCTTTGCAATTGGCAACTCACAGGCATCTCACGGCTACTTGTCCTACTCTTTTTACGGTAATCGATTCTTTCAGCTCTATTTTGACCTGTCTGTGGCAAGGCTGTGACTCTAAGCATCTTGAATTTCCATAAGAGCTTAATGAGTTTTGATGTTTGTTGAAACTCATTGGTCCAAACTACTGGACAAGCTGAATTAAATTAGCAGCAGATAGCAACTGCTTCTAGGGAATTTTGAAACTAGGTGCAAGAGGACCTGCTTGAATTCTCTAATACATCCCAGTCCAAAATTTCGTTCTTTATTTACCTTGAGGACATTCACAATTTCACTGAGCTTTTGTATGACTAGCATGTACATCTGCTGCAATTAACATTTTCAGCCTTCTCGTGAACAAGCTGACCCCAAATGCTGCAGCAACAATTTTGTTTCCGAAGCATCTCTTTCACGTGGTTCTCATGGCTATGCTAATGATGAAAGGATGACCCCTGAAGGAGATGGAGATCCATTGAAATTGAAGGCTGAGTGTCCAAGTTTTGATCTTGGATTTTGAACCATATCCATTGCACAATCAACTATATTGCTACTGTCAATAATCTGGATGGAGCGCGCAAGAATCTTGTGCCTATCACACAAGAAATCTGTACAGTTGAGCTCTTGTTTTTATGTGGAGAGTTCTAGTGCCAAGTTCATTTGCAGTTGTCTGATCTGAAACATTTTTAGTTATACGACATCATTTCCAGTGATCTTCAACATATTGAGGTACAGTTATGATGCAAAAAACTGAGATATGGGTCTACCCAGTTTCCTTTACCCCCTGTTCTTCTTAGTAATCGTCCAAGAACTTGTATAACTTGTTGTCCTTTCTCAACTTCCGCATGCTAAGCAAGGCCTTTAAGAGACGTTTGTTTTTGCTGGAATATACCTCGATATCTGTTCTTCTGCTCCTCTCAACATGAGTAGACATTGAAGTGGATCTTCGGGGTTCCGATGGGTACTGGATGTTCATGTGGGCATATAAGAGAATCGTTCATAAGAGATCATGTCCGCAAGACATGTCCAACAAAAAATAAAACTTAATAGCCAAGCTGCACTGAATATCATTGATGCTTAACTCATCTTTTGGCATTAGAAGGGTTTGGAGATGTAGATCTATTGACCAGAGAACCTGAACATGTGAATTGAAATTGAAATGGGGAGGCGCGTTTTTCTGATTAGAAAAAGTGCGGCTTGCATTAGGAGCTTGTCTGACTACACGACATATAATACAATCACAAGGTATGAAAACATAACGTAAACGCTAGGTATGGCAATCTGGAGCATTCAAGTCGAGTGCACTGACCTGGTTTTTTGTTGGATGAAGTGCTTGCAAATGGAAAGGTGCCGGCTGGGGAGGATTGTGGAAACTGTGTAGCCGAATGCCGTCTCCTGCATCAGTGTTCCACTGTCAGCATCGGGTCTTTTCGAAGCTAGGATGATTAGCACAGATTCTATCAGAAGTTACCTGACAAATGATATAGAAGTCTCTACAGTTTTTGGATGTATGTCTTCGGAAAGAAATAAAGTTATTAGTACGTCAGTAGTAGCATTTGACATTCTGCTTTTTGATGGAATAAGTTGAACACATGCAAATGATGAGCTAGATATCAGCTAGTTCTATGACTCGTCAACTTTTTACATCTAATAGACCAATCTTGTTCCGTGCAATTAGCATAGTGGTAGCTAAACCAGAAAAAGAGTCATACCATGTTCACCTGCGGACATTTCGGCATTTACTCCACTTGTCATGTGGTATCGCAGATTCTTGCTGGCTCCACCGTCTTTAGCTGTTGAAACTGAAAGAAAGTTCTTAAGCATGAGCCTATTCCTAACTCTTGGTCTTAATAAACCGATGACAAATCTTGTAAAGGGAAGCGTGCCTGGTAAGATATATCGCATGTGGTGCTTTGGAGTTCTTATCACTAGTGACCGCTGAGATAGGCCTCCACGGTCTATGAACATCTCACACATTCGTAGTCTCTAAAACACAAAAACAGGGTTGAAAGTGATAAATAAATCGACAGTATGAGAGATAGTTGTTCTCTATGCCATCTTCCATATTATTGTTGAAGCAGGATATGTTCTGCTATTTAGAGTATCTTTTGCTCTTCGAATTAGTTTGTTGCAATGTAATATGATCGCACACGTTGTGGAGTTTATCTAAAGTAATTTCAGATTTCCAAGAACTTAATTCTTCTTGGTAAATTGCAATTTGTTAGACCCTGCACATGGTAAATCAGAGGGCATGCAAGCCCTTCCCATCCTTAATCCTATAAAACAAGGAAAACCTAATTATATAGCACCTGTCGAACACAAGAGAATCTGAGCTCAATTGCAGATGCTTCCTCAATCTTGTCTTCCAGGAGACACTTGACCTTATAAATCATGGAGCCCAAGTGATCCACAGTGTTGATGAAAACTTTCGTTGCATAATCTCTCAGTGTCTTCACCACCCTACAGTATTGTCAAGGCCAGTATAGAGATGTGCAACAGAAATAAATGCCCAAGCCGGTACACTATAATGAAATGAAAACATATGTATCTCACGTTTGTTTTTGATCGTGTCTATTGTAAGACAATTCAAAAGAATCAGCTGCCGAGTATAACTGCTTCCTAAGATCTTTCAGGTCCTGATTAGTGAAAAAGACGACAATTAGCATGCATGACAAATCCAAACCTTTTCACCCTGAAATTCGAACATGATGAAGATCAGATCATGAGGAATTTGATCATCTAACAAGCGAAAAAAGTAGAGGAAAGTAACTGGCTCGTGAACACAGACAAGTATGAAAATGGATAAATGTGATCATAAAGGAACATCAATCGAATTTCAAGGTAAACCTAGAAAAAGTAACTAGTAGTTATGTTCTGAAGAAAACTCCAGGTGTGCGTGTGCGTGTGTTTATATAAGTACCTTCAGACTATCTGAAAAGTTCAAGCTCTGTTTCATGGAGAGCTCATCATAATGCGAAGCTTCCTGAGGAGCGGAAACTGAAGAAGGCAACTGAGAAGCATCCATTGTACCAAAGTTTTAGAGTATCTTCACCTGTTACTATGAAGATGAAGCAATCAGATTCAAATTCACACCCTCGTGCCCTGACTGTTGTTATCCATTTCCAAGACACGTCTTGTCCTAGTTCTATTTTCCTTCTAACCGAGAGAACATTTTCCTTCTCTATTATCTTTCACCGTCCGGCCAAATCATGAAAACGTAATTTCTTCTTCTTGATGTTCTTACCTTATTCTTATCTCAACCATTTTCTACCAACAAAGCCGAGGCTAAAATCCTGAGATATTGCAAAACTCAGAGCTCTTCATGTGACGATGACGACAGTTATTGCCAAGGCAAGCAAACTTTTCTTGTTGTTTTGTCAAGTCACGGATCACATAGAGCATTGCCAAACCGCAAGTCCAAAAAGAACTAGAGAAAAAATCTCAGTAGGAGAGCAAAAAGCACATGCAACGAATATGAAGCTGACGTTACCTGCTCTTTTCCCTTTTTGTCTACAACGACAAAGTCCCGAGCCCAGTTTCAGCTCACTAACATTCCTCGGCAAGGAAATTAAAGAAAGATATACAAAATGGCATAACCAGAATTAGTGATCTTCAACTTAGATATTCAGAGAGAGAGAGAGAGAGAGAGAGAGAGATCAGAAAAATCATCTTGCAGAGATGTGTCATCACCAAATGCCATAGTGAGGCAGTGATGACTCTTGCTAAAGATGGCTATAGATAATTGTTTGCGCAATTTGTGCCTTTCGCTTCTGTCACAAGCTTGTTTTGAGTCTCTGTTGGGGAGAGTAATAATTGGGATATGATGAAGGCTACACTGTACTAACAAGGACAAGAAAGGCACTGGGTTTTTTGGGAATAAGTCCTGAAAGCAACGCAGACCCAAACAGAAAACTACCAAAGTGAAACATCCAATTGCAGTAAAATCCCAATAATTCGTCTGTCTTTGCCCATAATTCTCTCATATGTGAGCATTTTCTTCCATCTAATAGTCTAAGGTTTTACATTTCCAGCATAAAAGGTAGATTTCCGCCGATCCAATGGCCGCTCCCATTCATTTGGCTCGGGAGTTATCTCATCCCTCGATATCTACACGCAGTGTGACGTGAGAGGAGGTTTTACAAGTTATTCTTACGTGAAGATCAAGTATAATATCTATCTATTCTTGATTGTGGGTAATACAATCATTTTCACTCACTCTCATCTATCGAAAACACAAACCTCCTTCTTGTGTGAAAGATGCCGTGTCGGTTTGGCATTTGGTACTACACAGAAGTCAATCCTCAACAGAGCCGACATACATCCGCTGTCTGTTGCTGTTAGCTCGAGTTTTCATCAATTGAGGCCCACTACATTAAGATACAATGGACTTTTTTAGGAAGTCAGGTGGTGTGGGGCTTACACATTCAATTCAGCAACCGAATGACATTTCATCTTTCTCACCATAAACCAACTCTAGCTTATGTCGTACATCTTCTCTACAGGTCTCAAGCATTCGCTGGTGGTCGACTGTGCATGCAAATCCAATGAAAGTGCGGTTTTGCAAAAGATCCTGTCAACCCAATTCGAAGTGAGGTGGCAAAATCTTTGCACTCGTCAACTTTTTATTAATATCGTCACCTTGAAGATCGAGCAAGACTACATGGAAAGATGGAAACAAAACGTGCCCTGTGGAGCAGAAGCGCCTACTTGAAATGAAACAAGAAAAGCCAACGATAATTTGAAAAATGATGGAATAAACAAGAAAATAAGTCTTAAGAAATTGGAAACATTTGGGGGGGTTGGGAATTCCTAATCGGACGTTTGTTATTACATCATCATACGATATGATGAGATTTGTCGATGATGGTCACATACCAACAGCAAGGAGTCAATTCATCATAACACCATGATTTAGAAGAGGCGGACCATTAGTTATCAGAGAGGGGCAACGGCATTTAGCGACGATTTTACCATGCAAAGGCTACAACATGGATCATGCAAAACTCTACCAAATTGCACACCCCAGATTCATTGATTCTGCTCAGCCTTGAGAGCTTTATGAAGCAAATGTAGAAATCGAAATCACATGTTCACAGAGCTCAATCTGGAGTTTGGGAAAAAATAAAGGGAAAAGAAATTTCTAATATGATTTTCCTATGTCGTCTCTTCGGAATACCAACGATCAAGAGTAAGCACAGGAATACCAACAATCAAAAGTAAGCAAACGCCCGCAGCGGGTGACTATTTCAACCCACTGAACTAAAAATTGAACTGGACACAAGCATCCCTCGTTGGCCTTCCTACGCCAATGCTTTGCAACTCTTTGACCAACGAAGACAATTGATGTCACCAAGTGTGCATAGATTCGATTCTCCTATAACAAATTAAACCTAATTGTATCTAGGCCTATTCGTAGGGTTAGATATTTTAAGAGCGACGTATACATTCTTTATGTTGTCCATCTCCATGTGACAACACTGATTTTGGTTTCTGATTCTTCCAAGTAAGTAGGTAAGACAAGGAAAATATCCTACTAATCAAATGCAAAATTGTGGTCAACAATGAAATGGTTATGAGCACTAAAAATAAATATCAAATTTTTCGAAATGGGCAAGAGGGATGAGATGCCATTAGTACAAAATAACCAATCTTCAAAGTGTGCAAATATCAGTGCAAACCACCATGCACTGCAGTAGATCCTAAACAATCTGCTCCGGCTCTCTTGCGTAACTCAACGTCATACTAAGCTGCAGGGAAGGAATTTCCTTCGAAGATGCAGATTCTTGCGCTTTTGAAAATACACAAACCTGCTCTTAATCTGCCACTCGGGATGCTCCTGCAGTCCAACAGATAACATATGTAATTGGTCAGGCTCCACAATGTAGCTTTTACGTGGATAAATTCTTCCACATACTACGAAACACTTTTTCAAGCACGTGGCTTCATTACCGAGCACACCTTGCCAAGTTTGAACTCAGCAGAGTGACAACAAGTGCCAAATGACACATCGATGTGGTAAGTGTTAGTTTAACATCAGTCTGTGATTCCAAAAGAAGATAAACAATCATAATAGTTGAAGAGGACATAGATTAGCAACTTGATAAAAGAGATTTTATGAGACCCCTTCGAAGGTCTGAACTGATGCTGGAGCGGATATTATCTTTTTGACTTAATTGGTCAATCGAGAATACAATTCCAGGCAGAGAAAGCCAAAATCCTCTCATAATGTTTACCTCCTCGATATATACCGCAAGTTCTCGGTCACAGGAGAGCATCAACAATTGCCGAGCGTCACCAATTGGCATCATCATATTGTTTTCTTGCTACATCCAGCAATTTCATCGCTGTTGTTCAAATGGAAAGAGTAATGTAAGCACACATAAAAGAATCTTTTAAGTACATCCTGTAGCCTTACATGAAGGAGAGTAGGATACTGATGATAACAAAAAAAAAATGTAGGAGACTGGGATGTGCGCAATAATGCACTGTTGTATTCCTCGTCATTGTGTCTATATACAAAGAAATCGATTGCACAACAGATTTATGTTACCCCCAGTATCTACTCACATGCGCATTTCGTCAAACATCTGACCAGCACTATGGAAATGATCGAATCTGCTCTCCTCTCCTCGCCAAAGCAAGCTGCTTTCACGATGGCGTCTTCAACACCACAAGCGATGACCCTTATTCTCTTCGTATATGCCTCCCATCAGCTGTCTTCTGGAGAAGCATCGCATTGAATTCGCTGCACCTCCTCAGCGAGAACTTTGCAATCTTCCATGAGCAAAGTCGCGACGCATCTCGACGGCGAGCGAAACAAACAGATTTCCCCACTGAAGTCCTCAAGCCCACCCCCTGACAACCCACAAGACAGCTGAGGCCACCCCTGACCACCCACATCAATATCTCTCTATCTCACATCGTCTTACGAAGCTCATCCCAAATTTCTTGAGAACTGTCGTAGGTGTGGACTCCTCGAGGCACCGCCGTCCTCAATTTGGGACATTCGATGATCCCTAATCGAGAAAGATGAGGCATGGCTCCTTCAGCCACCCTCCACTCCTCCAAATTCTCCATATAATAAAGACCTAAATGCTTGAGTTGAGGAAAGCCTCCCGCGGAGCAAACCATTTCCTTCCCAGTGAAAGCCCAACGCCCCAGCATGAGAACAACCAAGTGCTGCAATCTCTCCAATATTGGCATCGGATCTTCTTCCAGAAAAGACTTCAATAAGACCAGCTTCCTCAGCTGCTGGGGTAAATTCCTATGCTCTGGTAACTTCTCTATGTCTCCCCTTATCCACAGCTTACAGGAATATGGATAGCTTGACATTTTACTCAATTCACCTTCAGTGAACGAGTCAGGATGTCGGCTGATGAACATAAAAGATGAGGTTCGAAGATGTTTCAAAGCGAATTTAGCAAGTTGTGGCATTATCTCCAACTCCTTGCCACCATCGACGGTCAGTTTTTGCAAATTAGTCAGTTTGCCTATATCGTTCACATCACAATTAAACGGATTAAAGTTTATCAGTGTCCGTAAATTCTTTAAAGTGTCAAACCGCAACTTCTTCCGCTCTCCATGAAGTTTCCCCTTGACAACAAAAAAGGTGGGAAGGTGGAGACACCTCAACCTTCTCATCTTACGCAACAGATTTGGCACGATTACCCAAGCAGATGAAGCCACACGCAGGTCCAAAAATTCCATCCATATAAGGTTCCCTATAGATTGCGGCAAGTCCTTAATATCACTTCCCGCTAAACTTAAGAATCTTAAATGGATTAGGTCTCCCACTGATTTAGGTAATTTTCCTCTCATACCAGAAAGATCCTCCAGTTTCAGAACTCTGAGAAACTTACAATTGATAAAAATTGGTTGAAATTGCTTCCACTTCCCTTGGACAAATCCGAAGAACATGAAAGTTCGAAGGTGGAGTATAGTCCTTTCTATTGGTTTTATGCTCGAAAACATGTTTCCTTCGGCACTCTCGTGCATATTGAGCGAAAGCCTTCGTATTTTGCAAGTTGACTCGACTTTTATTGCTGTCGAAGAAGAACAATCCTCCGTCTCATTGTCCTGCCGAATGTTAAAAATGCTTAGAAAACTCTCTTGCGTAGCCTTAAAGATGCATAAGTCTCGCATGAGGTCGTGAAGGTGGCAGGTTTTGATCTTTCCACTCCAGTTGAATCGTACTTGAACCATCCCCCTGCTAACCAACTCCATTAAATATTGCTTTGCTATATCTTCCACTTGAATTTCTCTCTCTTCGTCATATAGATTCAGCGACACAAAGCCTTCAGCAATCCACATGTGAAGAACCTTTGTTGCGGGAATTTCTGCATCCTCCGGAAAGCTACCCAAATACAGGAAGCATGGCTTTAGATGCCATGGTAGATCGTCATAGCTTAAGGCCAACACTTTTGACACATCACTCTTATCGCCAAAATGCAAATTGATCTTTTTGTAAACCGTCTCCCACTCGTTGACCGCCAGAAGTCCACCAAGCACAATGACAGCCAGGGGTAATCCTCCACACTTCTTAAGGAGTTCATCTCCTATAGTCTTCATGTGTTCAGTAATTACTGCACAATTTCAGGCAACAAAATGCAACTTAGCAATCATAGGAAGATGCAATTGTAATAGGAAGATAACTTCAAGTGCAAATATTTGCATTTAGCTATATAAATAAGATGTTATAGTTCTTTATAATTTGTGGTTCATTTATGCTTTTTGTAAGGGGAAAGACTATAGGGACCACAACAAAGCTCCTCTATATGCCTCCGTCTTCACCTTGAAGATCAAGAACCCTAAATCAGCAAGTGGAATGTATTGTCATTGTTATATGTCGCTTGAATTAAGTGACTCAAACAAATGCATGACAACAATACTCCTACTTGATGAAGAAAAATGAAAACAACGCAGGGGATAAATCGAAAGTGCAAGTAATCTTATGTGACTTAGTGTGCTACTAATCTCCCACACCAATTCTACTAAAATCTCCATGTTGCCGCTCTATTTTGTCGCCTAACGATTCACGATTTTCCTTATTATCCCAACTCTTTTTGTAAAACCAACTATTCACAAATGCAAAAAAGGCGGACCTGAGCCTATGGAAGAACTAACGTGGCTGGGCTTCACATTATTTCACAAATCTGTCAAAATCGCTTATTATGTTGGCCATATAAATGCCTCTTTGTATTTATCCTCGTCAGAGGAAAGGAGGAGCAAAGTTCTAAATGTTGGTTCAGAGGTACAGTCGTTAGCTATTAAGAAACAAAAGGGGCATCCGATTCCCCAAATATTGAAATTATGATGCCTAACACTCGATATATTTATCATTTGAACTTCACTATAACTATCGATTCATAAATTATTAAAGCTTCTAAAAGGCCAAACTGAGCAATGAAGTACCTGGTAGTTGTCCCTCCGTCTCTGACTGTCTTGCGATACGTTTTACAGTTTGGCCCGTTGTAATACCTTGACCAACTCCAAGTCCAACAGAAGAGAGTTCAATATCTAATCCTGTCAATAACAATAGAAGTACCATAAATCGAAAATCAAACAAGCATTATAATCTCTTGAAGCTACTATATGTTAGGATAATAACCTTGAAAATGCCTTACCTTTCATTTCAGGGAACGCTCTCTTCTTTAGGAGATCCCAACTCTCCTGGTCTGATAAGCATCGAAGTTCATGGAAAAGACCTTGAAGATCTATGTACTCCGCTACGTCTCTATTGCGGGTCGTTATCAATAGCTTGCTTTTTGTGTTCTCAATCGGAAATGCAGCTCGAAGACTGTCCCATGCCTCTTTGGTCCAAATATCGTCAAGAACCACGATACATCTCTTCTCTTGCTGAATCTCATATAGAGTTTTGAACAATTCGTCATCTTTCATCTCCATAACCCTCTTTCTTTGATCAGGGATCAACTTAACAAGAATTCCCTCCAAGATATCTCCCATGTGGTATTCTTGAGATATGCAAGCCCAAGCGAAACCATCGAAATTGTTCTTGACTTTGTCATGAGCGACGACTTTCTTTGCGAGTGAGGTCTTACCCAAACCACCCATTCCCCATATAAAAATAACGCTGTGCTTTTTTCCGTCATTCAACAACTCTTTCACCAATTCCTCAATACTATCTTTCCTCCCAACAAAATCCTCCTTGAAATGTTCATAGTTCCATTTCAGCATCGAAGCTCTCGTGCGTTTGTGTTCACCCTCATTCGCAGGTTGTGTGCCAAAAGCCAGCATGCTCGTTCTAAGATTGGAGATGCGAGATTTTAAGCCCTCAATCTCTGTCCCCACCACATGAACCTGCATGCACGCGCATTTCGCCATGAAGCAAGCATACGCTTTGATGATGTTTTGTCCCTTTTTCAGCGCGACTCTGAGGATGTATCTCTCGATGATGTCCTCGGCATCATAGGCAAAGTCTCGGAGTTGTGCAACACATTCTCCAACAGTTTGGTTGTGCTCTCGTCTCGCATCCGCATCCCTTAGCAAGCACTGGATCAGCCTCAGCTCCCTGTGCAGGTCCTCGACCTTGCCCTCCACGCCCCTCAAGAATTTGGCCTCGTCGATGAGCAGCTTTCCTATTGTCTGGCCCACAGACGAAACAACAGACTCGGCCATTGGTATTGCACTACTTAGATTATGATCAGTGGAGATTTATGATAAAGAATGACTTGAGAATTCGCTCCTGATGCGTTAACAAGCTCTGAACATATAGGCCTGTAAGTTGCATAGAAGAGAGAAAAGGAATAACTACTTAGAAAGTTGCTTGTTGCATTGATTATACCTAATCTATATCCGCCGATGCAAGTAAATCACCCGAAGAAGAAAAGAATGGAGTAATGGGGAAGTCTACAGGCATATATTCTCAGGTAGGAGAAATGTTTTGTAGCTATAGTTACAGACGCAAGAAAATCACCCCAACAGAATGTAATTAAACTTGTCAAAAGGGTTATGACGGCAATCTAAAGAAGATATAAAGGCTTTCTTGTTTGAAGGAGGAATCATGAATTTGCTTGACAGCAATCACGAATATGATGCTTTCTTGTTAAAGGCTATCTCATGGTGAGTTTGTCTTCAATGTATGGTGAAAAAAGCAGAACGAAAGCCTGTCATAATCAGTCTTCCTCAGGCTAGCTCCATAGCCGATCTCAACTACGCGCTATAAAAGTTAGCACCGCCGAATTGCTGGAAGCAAGTGAACTAATATCTTTGTCATTCGAACAACCCAAGAAAAAAAAACGGAACAAAGCATAATCCATATTGCCTTAAAGAACGTAAAAATAAAACATCGAAATTTTAAATCCACTAAACACGGATGCAATGACTACTACAATGCTAAAAAAAACTAAAACGTACAAAAACTAGAGAAAGAAATAGGGTCAATTCAAATGGGAAAGGGCCACTCACAAGCTTAATTGCGACTTTCTTGTTCGTCTGAATTTTAGAACCTGAAATAAATTCGCGGAAAAGTTCAAACAAAATCAAACTAAAAGCAGAATGGATAAAGCAAAAACCGAGCATCAGTTAGCAAGCATTCCACAGAGGTAGATCTCTCCGAACGATCCGCTACCAATCCTACGACGGAGCCAAAAACAATAACTCAGAATGATTATTGTCCAGTTATAATATTGGGATCGGGTCAATGACCTCATCATCTTCATCGTCATCATCATCACTCTCCACAGCTAACTGTATCTAGGCGATGGCATATAGATACAGGTAATGGCACATATGCTAAAAGCAATAATTCAGCATTGCATTTTTGCTTTATGTACCGTCAAAAGATTCGTATCACCCGGGCAAAGATCAATAATTCAGAATCATATTTTTGCTTTATGTCCAAAGAAGATTTGTTTCGCATGGGCTAATGGCAGTAATTCAGCATCAACCTTTTGTTCTATGGGCAGTCAAAAGATGGGCTTATCATGGCGAACAGCTTTATGCCTCGTCAAAAGATTCGTTTCTCATGGGCCAACAGCTTTTATCTGCCGTCAATTAAGCATCTGCTTTACGTGAAGTCAAAAGATTGGTTTCCCATGGGCTAACACTGATAGCAACATTTTGGTTTCTTGTGTTGGGAAACAAGCCATCCCAGATTATATCTACTATAAGATTTATCAAGGCTCGTACTATCTAAGAAACACACACAAATCAGTCAACTCGTCCATGTTAATTAAATTCAACTCCACAAAATTAAAGATAAGTTGCCATGATCGAACCCGCCCATAAAATTTGGAAACTCTATATATGCACTTCTCACATTCTGAAAATTTAGTGATGTGCTATAGTAATTTTGCGGCGAGTTGATAGTCAAATATTTTGATTCTAAAATATAAGTGTGGTGGTTATCTACGATACTGTATTAAAAATTATAATCCAAAAGCTTAAAAACAATTAGTTAAATGCAAAAGGACCACATGTATATAATGCCCATAAAAAGCTCCATCATTGAATACTTTAACATGGGATCGCAACATGCTATATTCGTTGAGTTCATGCCTTCAGTCTATGCAATTGGCTTGACCCAGAGAAATTTGCATGCAATTGGTGACATTAACCGGCGACCTCCCAGTTTGTAACTTGAAATGCTCCCAAAGCTCTAACCAAACAAGAAACAGAGAGTTGTTAAGGTGATGATTTTGCATTTTGTGTAATTTGAGATTCTTAAATTCGAAAGAAAAAGTGATTTTATGGAACCGTATTTTTAGGTGGTCAGCCCACGATAAGAATGAGGATTGGGATTTTAGTTTAGTGCATCAAAGTTAAGGAGTCTCAACTATTTTGAGACCGTAAACTGGAGGGAACTGTTAATATTTTTTAGACCGTAACGACATTCCTGGTGATTGTGGCGACGATGACGTCGGACTACGTGATTGTAGATGATGATCCCTTTTGTTGACAGAAATGAGACAAGCGACTGATAGAGAGGGAAGAGAGGCTGAGAGCTTCTTTGCGATGTGGGTAATGAATTAATGATCACCTGCACCAAAGCACACATTGGTTCCTTAAATTAACCAATCAACGACTGGTCAGCAGCCAATTTTAGCCCCAAGTACAAGATTGTTCATCTTAACCCTTGAAGAAATTGGAGTTCAAGGCTAAATTTAATGGTTTGCAAGAGAAATGAGAGACCAATTAACAGCAAAAATTTTTCTTTGCTTCGACCATCTTTTCTTTTTTCTCTTGATCTATTTTGGGAGATTTTGTGTATAAATAAATTTATGCGGCTGATCTTGGGTGAACGTGGAGTCCAGTTCGACCATTCATCTAGTCGATAGCCATCGAGAAAAATGTGCATGACGTGGCTCCACAATTTATCCAATATTAGATCGCTCTCCTCTCCCGAGTTAGATTTAAGTCTAGATCTAGGAGTTTATTCTCCCGATTTAGATTCAGGTTTAAATATGGGAGTTCCTTACAGGTATTTGCTATATGTTCTTTCAACATATTGATGTTAGTGTCTCTGCACGGCGATAGCACTGAGGACATTGAATCTAGACGCGCACCGCAAGCCATTGAAAATGGAGTGGGGGATATCGGCCGGTGCTCATCACTGAATCTAGTAATTGGCCGCCGAATGTTTACTGTGGTAAATCTGTTATTGAGAGATGAGAGTGTGCTTTTAGCTGCAGACTATGCTTTATGCTTTGTTATTTGCGTTCTAGTATTTGCTTTGTTCAAAAAAAAAAATTAACAGCATAAAAGGGCGAATTAAGATGGGATGGATATATTCGGGTTGGTTTGGTATGGCAAAATCTAGTAAAGTCAACAAATTTTGCTTTTTGGTTTCAAATTTGATTTGACACGATGATTTCAAACCAATCAATCTTATTACGTTATTATTGTCTATTACCATTGCTACTCAATTTGCAAAATGAGCAATTCACTATCAATATTATTAGCTTCCGAGAAACATTGCTTCAAATTTGACTACCAGGTAGAGCAAGTAGCCAAGTACCACTGACATAGTGTTTCGATTTCGCCCTTTGATGCAGCTTCCCAACGGCCTCCACAATGTCTTCCTCAGTTTTGCATAAGTGGATTTCTTTAGGTACAGTCCTCAATTTGGACAGACATCGATCCCGACTCGAGAAAGACGTTGCATGGCTCCTTTAGCAACTCTCCATTCCTTTTCTAGCAAAAAAATAAAAAAACTCTCCATTCCTCTCAATTCCATGGCCCAACCAAGAGCAACCTCCTCCGATGCAGAGGCAAATACTTGTGTTCCGGCATCTCCTTGATTTGGCCATGTAAGTATAGTTTACAATCATACAGATTGCTAGACATTTTACACAAATCGTCTCGGCTGAAACCTTGCCAAGGAGCAAGGAAACAAAAGGGGGCGGATTCGTGGAGTTTGTAAGTTTACCAAGTTGTGGAATCATATCTTGCTTTTCGGTGGGGGGGCACGGATTGCAAACGGACCACTTTTGTAGTTTTGGCAGTTTGTCTCAATTTCTCTGGACGAAACAAAGAATACAACCACAACTTCTCTCAACCGACAATGGGTTGAATTTATTGAAAAGATAGAGATACCCCAAAAACATATGATACATGATTGTGTAAACCAATCTTGATATGTGGAAGTTTTCAAGGGAAAAATTTCTCATCTATTGCACAATCGGTAAAATACAAATGAAAATATTTCTTTATTAAATATGATTAATGAGTGTCCTTGAAGCATTCTTTAATTAGATTATGATAAATTCATAAAAAAACTGTCAAAAGTAGCAAAGGGGGGAGGCTCCGTCTCTTTACATTCATTCCCCATGTTTAGAGAAGGATTACCATAAGATTATGATGTGAACTCTCATCTGCAAGATTCGACAATTAGCACCGAAAGAACGGAGAAAAAGATTGCTTCTTGCTTCATGCTTCCCGTTTCGACCACCACCAATTGCTTTGTCTCTTCTCTTTTTGTCTTTTTGGGGTCCCTTTAGCTTTGATGGACAGCTGCACGAAAAAATTGTAAAGAAAGACCGATGCACAGGAGCTGAAGAAATTATGAGCGCGAAACCTGAGGAGGTGCCTCACGGTTTCAGCCGCCGTTGCTTTGTCGTATCTTTACATGTTGCTCGTCCCTTTGATTAATATGTTTTGACAAAGCCAATTGGTGTTTCCTTAATCACGCTTTTTCGTTTTTCTCTATGAGTTTATATTTTACGTCTCGTTGTTCATCTAAATGCAAGAATTGGACTATACAAACCGAAATCAACATGCCGCTTCTATTTCACGCATTCGAACACTGTTTCAAAAGAGGAAAAATGAACTCCCTTCTAATTGTTTGCTTTGCCCCCCGCAATCTATGTTAAGATATTTTATGTTTGGATGTCAACAAACTTGGTTTGAATTAATGAAGTTTCTCAGTTTTCACCCCAAAAAAAAAAAAAAAAAGCTGTTTCAACTCGCGAGAGCATCTTGTCAAACACCTGGCCAGCATTTGGAAAAATGCTCAGATCTTCCCTCTTCTTTGGTTTAGCATCAACCTTTGACGACGAAATCTGCAACGCCACGAGGAATGACTCAACTTCGTCTAGTCTCGCATTAGCATCTCTCGAGAAGCATTGGGTTTGCGCTATGAATCTACTGTTTACTATCTACATCAGCACCTTTTCAAAAATGAGGTTTCCGTGCTGAGCCCACCTTGCAGGCCAAATGACACGTAGATGTGGTTAAGTGAAAGTTTATATCTGTCTGCGATCCCAG